GTCTTTGGCATGACTCCTGGCTGAAGGATAAATTCATCGAAAGTTGGTAGCAACATCTTTCATGACCATGGCAACCCTATCACCATCAATCGATTGTTCGTTTGAATCTCTAGTCACAAGATGGTCCCCAGTGATGTGATCCCCCAAACTTGTTGGATTCCACGGTCAAAGATTCACCCTTACTACGTTTGGTTGGTTTGTGCATGTTTGTACATTTTAGCACATTTGCAAGTTTCGCAGTACGGGTTCTTTGGGGTGTGTGTCATCATGTGCCTAAGAGTCCTGGCCTCATCGGGCCTCATCCCTCGATGCAGCTTCACCACGATCAAGAGCTTTAGGTTCAGGCAACAGAAGTCGACCGTCGACTGGTTCTTCAGGAGCTTCGACCTCATCTTCCGAACCCTCATTGATGTCAGGCGTCATTGCTGCCGGAGGTCCTGGTGCAAGCTCACCAGGGAAAAACTCCTCGAGGCTGTCGTCGGCATGTCCAAGAACCTCGTCATCGTCAGCGATGGACGCCTCGTAAGGCTCTTCCACCTCTTCGACTTCGTCCTCAGGTTCAGTTCCAACTGCCGACACACGAGACCTTTGAACTGGCGAGATGATGGGCTTGCCGTTCCCAGCAGCGGAGTCCCACGAAAATGGAATTCCTTCACCTCAAGTTTTATCTTCGTTCCATCATTCTTCTTAAAATACGGACGGCTAAAGCTTTTCCAAACAAAATCCCATCCATCCTGAATGCATCTCATTCCTACAGAAATGACCGCGGGAGTATCAGGAAGAACATAAGGATGAACTTCTTTGTCGATGCAATCAATGTGAACGGATGCTTGCTGGTCAGCTGACTGAGATCCATTGGCTGTGATTAATTCAAGGGGTTCATGAGAATGATACACTACGTCTTCGGGAATCATCTTACTGCAAACTAAGTCCTGAGCACTACCAGTGTCTGCTATCCATGCAATCTCGGCGGATGCATTGCGCTGCTGGGACAGCATGTGTCCTGGCATGGCTTTCAGGTCGGAACGGATGCAATGACGACAGCCGATATCACTGTCGCATGCGAAGTTGCATTTGCAAAATTTTCCATGCAACTCCCTCAAGACAGCTGACTGCAACATTTGTGCAGCAAGTATTGCATCACTCTCCCGAGCTTCGATCGTCTCTTTACGATGACGATCGTCCTTTGTGATGCAAATTGGATTGTGCGTCCTTTGCTTGGCATGGCATGGATTAAAAATTACATTCATGCTCAATGGGAACGTCAAAGGTTTCAATGATGTCCCCAAATGAAACAGTGCGATTGAGTGTAACTGGCATGGCAAAATGCTGGTTGTGAAATTGAGTGGAGGCAATGCCTTCCGGCACGCGATGAGTGCTGGTCGAAGGGTGAACGACTGCGACCATCATCAGAGCGCGCATCAGGCAAACTGCAGCTGAGCCAGAGGAAGATGGTTTTCCCCCTTTGTCCTTGAGACTCTGAGAGCCCTTCGAGGAATTAGAACCTCGGCTTGACGACCTAGAGCGGTCGCCCTTCTCCTTCTTCTTCTTCTTCTTCTTCTTCTTCTTCTTCTTCTTCTTCTTCTTCTTCTTGTTCCGGCTCTTCCCACGCTTGTCATCCTTTGCGGATGGAGCTGCAGGTTTCGGCGGATGTTGAAAGGCGCACTCACTACCACGGTGACACTTCCCCGCCTTCCAAAACTTGCAAACTGATTCCTAGATCCTGGAGACACAGAACGACTAGTGCCTCTTGACTTAGACCTAGACACCTAGACCTACCTTTCTTACCTCCACCTTTTCCTTTGTCTGACTTCTCATGTTTATATCGGCAATCCTTTCCCCTCGTACACTTGCCTGCTTGGAAATCATAGCAAATGCCTTGAGGTTTCCCCGCAGACGGTGGTCTGTTGGGCGCTGGCGCGGCATCTTTCTTGCCTGAAACCGACTTCTTCGTAGCCTGCCGCATCTTTTCGAGACGCTTTCTCTCGAGGTAATCCCTTGCTGCCTTCATGAGAAACTCATAAGAGCGGTTGGGTTCCCCCTCCGGTGTGCGATCATACACAGCCAGATCATGAGAAAGGGGCTTGAAATTCTTGATGGCATTGTGGAAGTATGCTTGCTTCCACATGGTGTCAGGCTCGGAAGTCATTCCAGCGATCACGGCGTCCCACCTAGTGATGAAACCCCTTAGATCGTCGTTGGCTAAGGCAACAGCCATTAAATCTTCAATGTCATACACTGCACCATGTTTTCTACTCGTACTGAAATGTTTATGGATCATGAGCAATGCTTGACGTCCTCGGGCTGGTGTTCCGGACTTGGCCTGTTCTTCTTTAAAAATGTCAAGTTGCCGTGCAAAGTCCCCTTCAGATGTTGGTGAGCGAAGACATGAGCTTTGCGTCCAGAGTCACGAACTTACCTGAGTCCTTCAAGGCTTCGACGGTTTGGTCCGTCTTGAAAACTTCCTCAATCCACTGAAAAGCTAGATCGGGCTTGGCAGAAGCAGCTATTACGGCATCCCTTACTCTGATCCTCCAGTTCCTGTAATTTTCAGGTTGGGGAAACTTAGGTACTAGCTCCCGATCAGACTCTTTGGCCTTAGTATCAGATGTCCTAGAATGCTCCAAAGCTTTCCTAACCTTACGTGCAAAGGAACTCTCAGAATCCGAACTGGACGTGGTAGGCGATGAAGACGATGAAGGAGAAGAGGATGGATCCCGACGGCGTCGGCGTCTGGATCGTCCGCGGCTGGCCTTTCGGCCTTTCTTCTTGTTCTTCTTGTCCTTCCGACCTCGTTTGTTGTCATCGAAGTCGTCGTCATCATCACCAGGAGGCTCACCACCTGGAAGACCCGGTGGTTTGAAGGGTCCGGCCGCAATGTTCTCATCATCCGCATCGGACGAGTGAACAGGCTTCTTGCCACTTGCATCAAGTTCTTCAATGATTGGCCTTGATGGTTGAGACGTCTGTTGGTGAGGTTGATAGTGAATTTCAAGTCCAGGAGTTCCCTCCAGAGGTTGAGACTTCAAACTTCGAATCGACTCTTTCCGTTCCTTCCGAAGCTTCTCAATCTCTACCTCAAAATCCCGTCTCTGAGAATTGGCCGCTCTTTTCATGTCCAGCGAATGCTGATTCATGGCATCGAGTTGAGTGCGATACTCTGCAAGTTCAGATCGAGCTGCAAGCAAATCGGCATTGGATTTGTCTACAGATGCTGACATAAGACCTGCAGTATTAACAATTTGACTAAGTTCGGCACTCAATTCCTTGATGCGATGATCTTGCGCTTGGACATGCAGCTGAGCAGATTTCTGCTCGCTCATCGCATGGGCAGCTTGTTCGTTCAACAAAAGGTTCTTCTGAGAAATCTCATAGGCTGCTCTCTGTTCAATGCTTGCAAAACGATCTCGAGCTTCGCTCACAAGCGTTTCCCTTTGACGTTCCATGACCTCAGAGTGAAGCGCATTGGCCTCAGTCTGCACCGCTTGCTGCTGCGCAGCCATCAGTTGACCTGCCAGGGCTGGATCGACTCCTTGATGTACCACTGCCACATGGGCGGTACGCTGATCAACACTGTTGAAGTTGATTGTGTTCAACTGGCTGATGTCGATGTTCGCATCCAAGACACCTGGCATGTTTCGGCGTGGGTCAGTCCGGCATGGGTCAAAGTCCTCTTCCAAGTAACTCATGTCACCTTCGGTTGTAGCTGCTCCAGAATGGATCACCATTTCCTCCGGCCGCGTTGTACCTGCAACAGCGAGGGCAGCCGTGGCGTTCCCGCCCGGGGCAGGTAACGCTGGGGGAGTCGCCTTCACAAGTACGGGGGGGATATGCGAGAGAGTGAGACAAAGGAAACCAGCGATCGCTTGGCGATATGGCTGATAACCTGTAGAAACAAGTGAAAAGACTACACTAGCCACAAAAGTACCCTGCACCCAGTGCACCAGTGCACTATTTCTTGAGCCACAACCACAAGGCAAGTGAACCGTAAAGGTGATACATATGGGACTACTGTGCAACAACAATATATATATATATATGTATAAAAAGAAAGAGAGAGAGAGAGAGAATGAGAGAGAAAAAAAAACGGGGGAACATTGCAACAAAACGGACGACCAGGACGAGATCCAAAAAATTACTATGTCCGCAAGGGCGTCGGTCACCGTATAAGGCAGCTTGGTCAATGTCAGCTATCCCATTTTTGTGGGCCTTCGAATTTAGCACCAGGGGCACCATCTAATTTTATCGATCTCAATTCACCTCAATTTCTTTTTGTACCAGCATGTACCAACCACTGAGTTGCAAGTTGCAACTTTGGAACATGTTGGAACGCCAAAACACCCTTCAAGGTCAGGATTGAAAACTCATACTCGGAGACTGCAAGGGCATCGCCAACTGGACTGTCCCCTCAGTCATGAGACGGTTCACGGCGTGAACTTGACATTCCGCAAGTCTCGCGATCTCACCGGACAGCTTGCCAAATGGTCGTAAGCCAATTTCAGGAAAGTTTATCCTAATTGCAACCAGGCCAGTTCTTCTTAAAATGGCATTTTCAAAATGCACCTTTTCGAACTGCACCGTTTCCGCGCTGAAAGGGTTGGTAGAAGCTCCCTTTCGTGTGGCCCAGCGTCGTCATTTTGCAACAAATGTTGCACGGGAGGTTGCCTACGTCGTGTGCAACGAAGCACGTGTCCTTTGCCTTCTGCGCGGTACCGGACGGGCGAGCTGGAGCCTATCCCTCTTACGTCCACGCAATGAAATGGTGAAATGGATGAATATTTACCGCTTGCACAAGGCCTTCGCAGAGAGCAGCTCCATAAACTGACTTCTAAGACAAAACATCCTACAGTAAAGCACCTTTTTTGTGAAATCTGACAAAATACGACTGGGATTCCTGCGTCAAGGATCAATACATGCATCTAGCGAAATCTCATCGCGTCAACCATTATACTAAATCTCGTCGCGTCAACCATTATACTTGCAGGGTATCCACCGTCAGCCTCCAGGTATCTCTCGGCTTTCCCATCCTCCTGCAAAGTGCGAATGCCACGGTACCTTGACTGTCACAGCTCTCAAACAGATTTGCAGAGCATTGGCAGCAAACTGTCCTGCAAATTCGACACATTTCCGGATGGTTGAACATTTCTTTACAGTCCGGAACCCTCTTCAAAGGAGGTTTTGAGCGGAATGCTTTCTTTGGCTGGCGATTCGTAGCCACGATGCAAAGCGGTAGCACCGAGCTGCTTGGCGAGCTTGAAAACTACCTTAGCTGTACCCGAGCCATCTGATTTTTTCAAACCATCTTGAACCTTCGTCTATTTTGCTTAATTTTGTTTGCATTGCCGGCCAAAAATCCAACCCGATGAGCGCCGCTGATTTCACTGATGCAATCATGCTGCGTCGCCCCATATCCACACCTTGGCAGAAAGAAAGTGCAAAAAGTGGCGGTACCACGTCAGAAAGGGATTCAACTTGATTCAACCTCAATCATAACGTATTGACCGCACACGGGCGTTGTTGCAGCGTGGGGCCAGAATGCTTTGTGTGATTTATGTGTCACCCAGCGCCACCAATCTTTTGCGCCAAGTCGCTTTGGCATTTGTGGCCCCAATCGAAGACAGGGCTTGCTCCACTATCTCTTTACGTGTCTCAGGGCCTTCGCAATGTCAACGAGACAAGGAATGGCTGAAAAAAGGATGCTGCTAGCGCGACCTTTTTCCAAACATTTCAACCCAAAGGACGCACATTGTCGCATTCTAGTTTGAGCCATGGACTGACAGGATAGATCCTAAGCTGACAAGGTACGTAACAAAGACACGAATATCCACAAAGCCAGACGCGACCACTGTTCCAAATTGATCTACAAAAACACAGGGACCACAGGCTGTACCAAGGCATGCTCAAGCATATCTGTTTGCACTTGCGATCAAGACTATAGATCCCCTGGGGCTTGCCAACCAAAGAAGATTGCAAGCTGCGGCTCGGATCTTGAAGTGCTTCCAAGAATCTTGCTGGGGTTCACGCCAATGACTACATGCCTTCGTCCAGCATCAGCAACAAACACATGGGAACCACACAGGAAACAGACTAAGCAGACGTGTTGCAAGCCAAATTTGACGCCGTGCCATGTCAGCGGCACTGCTCCCAACCTTCCAAAACCGTTTGCTTCCAGCTATCAGGGGCCTGTTATGGCTATGGCCTGTCAACCCAAGCGAGCTATCCCCCAATCAAAAATTGGCTGTGGCAGCTCTTCCGGCTCTTCCTAGCCTTGATAGCCAAGTAACACCTCAGAGAATGCTTTTGACAAATAGCGGATAATTTCCACGTGGCCAGAATGCGGTGGATTGAAGGAGCCTGACGACAGACAATGTTTGTTTTGTTTGCTTGACCACCTTTTGGAAACCTTCTGATGAGGTTCCCCCTGTCTACTTTGATTCCCCCATATTCGCCCAGCGAATTAATATTGAAAGTTCTTCTGCTCGCAATCAAACCCGACGGCATCGGCTGCATCGCAAAGAAAAGCCTGCAAAAACGACAGAGGCTCTGTGAGGCACGGAGGGTGTCGGATAGCCATTCGCTCCGCTATTCCAAGCAACCTTGGACATCAAGCAACTGTGGCACTGCGGCAGTTACCCTGCACTCACCTTGCGCTTCACTGTTGGGGCTGGCCCCGCGGGGAAAACATGTAAAGTAGACATGGAAAGATGCAAACACACAAACATACAAACAAACAAACAAACAAACAGACAGACAGACAGGCAGGCAGGCAGGCAGCCAGACAGACAGACAGACAGACAAACAGACAAACAGACAAACAGAAAAACAGACAAAACAGACAAGCAAGCAGGCAAGCAAAGAAACAAACTAACAACCAAACCAACCCAAAGCAAGGCAAAGCAAAGCAAAGCCAACCAAAGCAAACCAAAGCAAGCAAGCAAACAAACAAACAAGCAAGAACATACATATATATTTATACCAGTAGTACCGCACAAGGCGGTGGCGGAAGTTTCAAAAATACGAAACCTATAGGAGAGGTTGGTTGTTGTGAATCACGGATGGCAGAGCGAAGCCACTGATGGACCGAAAGGTGCTTGATCTCTCTCACTCTTTCTCTCGCTTTCTCTGACTATCTACCTACCTACCTACCATCTATCTATCTATCTATCTATGTATCTATCTCTCTATGTATCTATCTATCTCTCCATGTATCGATCTATGCATCTATCGATGTATCTGTGTATCTATCTATCTATCTATCTATCTGTCTGTCTGTCTGTCTGTCTATCGATCTGTCTGTCTTTCTGTCTGTCTATCTGTCTAGCCATCTATCTATCTATCTCATCTACCCAGCTGGCCTCTCTCTCTCTCTCTTTCATCTAATTACCTCTCTATCTATCTATCTACCTACCTGTCTATCTCTCTCTCTCCCTTTCATCTGTCTATCTGTCTAGCTGTCTATCTGTGTTGCAGTGTCATTCAGTGTAATGTAGTGTGGTGTAATGTAATTGCGTGTAGCGGAGCGTACTGGAGTGTAATGTAGTGTAATGTAGTGTGACTTCGAAGTGAGCTTCGCGCCACAACGGCGTACACTTTTTCAACATTTGAACCTCCAAAAATGGTCCGAACCCCTGGTGTTTTGGACATTTTGACTTGGACATGTGCTTCGCGCCACAACGGCGTACACTTTTTCAACATCTGAACCTCCAAAAATGGTCCGAACCCCTGGTGTTTTGGACATTTTGACTTGGACATGTGCTTCGCGCCACAACGACGGGCACTTTCTCAACATCTCAACTTCCAAAAGTGGTCCGGAGCTGAGGTGTTCTGGACATTTTGACTTCGAAATGTGCTTCGCGCCACAACGGCGTGCACTTTTTCGACATCTGAACCTCCAAAAGTGGCGCGAACATGTGGTGCTTTGTACATTTTGACTTCGAAATGTGCTTCGCGCCACAATGGCGTGCACTTTTTCGACATCGCAACTTCCAAAAGTGGTCCGAGACCGCCAGTTTTTAACACTTTTGACTTCGAAATGCGCTTCGCGCCACAACGGCGCGCACTTTTTTGACATCTCAACTTCCAAAAGTGGTCCAAGAATGGTGTGTTTTGTACATTTTGACTTGGAAATGTGCTTCGCGCCACAACGGCGTGCAATTTTTCATCGCTCCTCTGGCCAGCTGGCTCCGCACCCGCCGCTTTAGCGAGCCTACTTTTCGACCCTCCGGAGCCACAAATCATTGGAAAAACACAGTGTTTCGCGACTTTCCTACCTTTTCGCGCAACTGTATCTTCTGTCTTCTTACTCTTTCTCTTCTGATCTTCTCTCTTCTAATCTTCCTCTTCTCTCTGCCTCTTCCCTGCTCTGCTTTTCATCTGTCCATATTGTCGGAAGTTTGACTTCTAAACTTCCTTCGATAATATGAATAGATGTTGATATATCCGCATTACGACATATATATGTGTGTGTGCGCGTTTGTTTTTTACAATATTTATCTATACAAAGAGAAATAGCGTGCATGAAGAAAAACGTTGGGAAAACTCCTCGGGGGCTTTGTGCAAACACGTGTTTCCTTTGATCACAATGGCACAGCTGAGCTGAGAACATATATGTTTATAGATACTTTTATATATATATATATACCAGTAGTGCCGCACAAGGCGGTGGCGGAAGTTTCAAAAATACGAAACCTATAGGAAGGGTTGGTTGTTGTGACTCACGGATGGCAGAGCGAATCCACTGATGGACCGAAAGGTGGTTGGAATTGTTTTTCTAGAGTGGTTGCAATGGTCGCAGTGGTACCTCACCACAACTGCTGGATGTAGTGTGGTGTAGTGCAGTTGTAGTTGTAGGTGTAGTTGTAGTTGTAGTGTAGTGGAGCCGTAGTTGCAAGTTGTAGTTGTAATGTAGTGTAATTAGTGTAGTGCAGTTGTAGTTGTGGTGTGGTGTGATTAGTGTAGTGTATTGTAGTGTACTGTAGTGTTGTGTACTGTAGCGTGGTCAAGTGTAGTTTAGTCTAGTGCATTGTAGTGTAAAGTCTTATAGTTGTAGTTGTAGCGTCGTGTAGTGCAATGTAGTGGTAGTTGCAGTTGTAGTGTAATGAAATGTAATTAGTGTAGTGTAGTGTTGTGTAATGTAGTGTAGTTGCAGTTGCATTTGTCTTTGTAGCTGTAATGTACTGCAGTTTAATTAGTGTATTGTAGCATAATGCAGTGTAGCTGTAATTGTCGTAGTAAGTTTAGAAGTCAAACTTCCGACAATATGGACAGATGAAAAGCAGGGATGGGAAGAATCAGAAGAGAGTCAGAGAAGAGAAGAGAAGAAGAAAGAGAAAGTCTCAGAAGAAAGAAGATCCAAGTCCGCGAAAAGGTAGAAAAGTCGCGACACTATGTTTTTCCAATGATTTGTGGCTCCGGAGGGTCGAAAAGTAGGATCGCTAAAGCGGCGGGTGCGGAGCCATGTGGCCAGATGAGAGATGAAAAATTGCAGGCCGTTGTGGCGCAAAACACATTTGCAAAAGTGCAAAAACTGACGGGTTCGGAGCACTTTTGGAAGTTGGGATGTCGAAAAAGTGCATGCCGTTGTGACGCGAAGCACATTTCAAAGTCAAAAGTGGAAAAAACTGACGGGCTCGGAGCACTTTTGGCCGAGGCGTGGGACATTTGAAGGGGATCTGCAAAGATGCATTTTCCGTGGCAGGCGCAGTACAAGAGACATGTTCATCAGAGCTGTTAGGAGGTCCGGGCGCTGATTTCCTGAGAGGGGTTGCATTTTGGAGCATCAGATCTTCGTTGCTGAGATGATTTTGCGTGACAGGTGCAGCACTTCGTATGACCCGGTAGCACTTTTTCGTGGCAGGCGCAGTAGTTTAGACAGGTGGAGTCGACAAAATCGCAAAACGCATTGGTACGAGGCCGTCAGCTCTGCACTCAACTTTCCATTTTTGAAGGAAGTCTCGCAGAATTGCTTCGTTTTGATGTTGTCAACTTAAAAAATGAGGAAGTCTCGCAGAATTGCTTCGTTTTTGACGTTGTCAAGTGCAAAAATTGAGGAAGTCTCGCTGAATTGCTGCGTTTTTGATGTTGTCAAGTTCAAAAACTGAGGAAGTCTCGCAGAATAGCTTCGCTGTCAAGCTTGCAGATAGACAGATAGATAGACAGACAGGCACAGAGAGAGAGAGAGAGAAATAGATATATATATATAGATAGATAGATAGATAGATAGAAAGGTAGATAGATAGCTAGATAGATAGATAGATAGATAGATAGATGGATAGATAGATAGATAGGTAGATAGATAGATAGATAGGTAGATAGATAGATAGATAGGTAAATAGATAGATAGGTAGATAGGTAGATAGATAGATAGATTAGACAGACAAGTGCAACTGCAACAACTACAACGACCACTACACTACACTACTGCTACAACTACAAATACACATTTTCTACGCTACAGTGCGGTACACTAATTACACTACACTACGCCAATTGCACTAACAGCTAAAACAACAACTACTACCACAACTACAATGACAATTACAACTGCGCTACACTGCACCAATTACACTGCAGCACGCCACAACTACAAACACAACTACAACTACAACCACACTACATTACACAACACTACACTACACTGATTACATTGCATTACACTACAACTACAACCGCAGCTGCAACTGCAACTACAACTACCGCTACATTACATTACACTACACTACACATACTACACTACACTACACAACACTAAACTACACTACACTACACTAATTAGACTGCACTACGCTACAACTACAACTACAACTACACTAGACTACACTAATTAGACTGCACTACACTACAACTACAACTACAACTACCTTACACTAGACTACACTACACTATACCACACTACACAACACTACACAACATCACGCTGCATTACACTACACTAAGTACACCACACCACGACTACAACTGCAACTGCAGTTGCAAATACACTAATTACACTACATTACAGCTACAGCTCCACTACACTACACTACAACTACAGCTACAACTGCAACTACACTACAACTGCACTACACCACACTACATCCAGCAGTTGTGGTGATGTGACCGCTGCAAACATTGCAACCATTCAAAAAAAACACAACTCCAACCACCTGTCGGTCCATCAGTGGATTCGCTCTACCATCCGTGATTCACAACAACTAACCTCTCCCATAGGTTTCTTATTTTTGAAACTTCCGCCACCGCCTTGCGCGGTACTACTGGTAGTTGTAGCTGTGGTGGTGCTGGTACTGAGAGACATGTGGTGCAAGGCAGCCAGACCACATCTTTCCACCAATCAGCCGCCGTCAATGAAAGATCTGCTATGATCGGTGCTGCTAACAGCAGCCAATCTCCAAGAATCAGAGGTCCTTGTTGTGCTTCCCATGGAGCAAGAGGAGGTAGGTCCGGACTTCCGGCACGTATGGTTTCGATTCCTCTCACCATTCCCATGTCATCCCTAGGTTCTTGCATTCGTTTTTGCATCTCTTTCATGGAACCCATCATGAGGGACGTGAATTCCCGGGACTTCTCGATAAAGCTAGCAGTTCCATCATTTTTGGACCTTTGGGGGCCGGCAGCCTCTTTGGCGGTCTCAGCTTCCTTACTTCGGATTTTTCGTGTCTCTTCAGCTTCAGTCTTTGGGGGTCCTGCAGCCTCCTTTGTGGTGATCTCAGCCTCCTTTTGTTCCCCATTGGGTGTGGAGAACTGCGGTTCTCTTTCCTTCTGACTTTCCAAAGCTAAAACACGTTCTCCAAGTTTCTTGTTTTCTTCCATCAGCATGTCTAAATCCCTTTTCAATCCCAGATTTTCTTGAGGTCCAGGATTTTGGCCTTCCCTTTGTCCGTAAGGAAAAGAAAATTGCGGTGCTTCCCCAGCTTGCAAAGACCCTTGAACCCTACGTTCATCTCGTTCCAAGAATAATGGTCTGGCAATTGGATGGGGCATAGCTAACTGATGGTACCTCAATTGTTGTGCACCAGGATACAGCCAAGGAGCTTGATCGAACATCTCCTGGAACTGTCTCAGCTGTTGCTCGTCAAACAAAGGTTGGGTTGGTGAAATCACGGCCTGAGACATTGATGCAGTTTGATGCAGTGCTAGATGGAACAACTCGTTGCGCTCGTTCAGAAACGTTTCCTGCACTTTGAGGTCCATTTGACACACCCTGCACATTCGCTTCCGACTTCACGGCCGAAGCATCAGTCACAGCAGCCACCAGCGATTTCAATCATTCAACAGCAATCTGAAGAGTTTGCATTGGCGGATTTCCCTCAGAACGCTTTGATGGTGTTTCCTCAGTTTTCCTTGGCGTTTTAAGTTCTGACTTGGCACGGACGGGTGACCTTGCATGCTTGTCTGAAGACCTTGCAGCTAAACCCTGATCTATCGGGTCAGGAACAGGAGGTGAAAAAGACTTTGGGGCATTTTTTGGTCCATCCTCTATTCCCAGCGGTTCATCCCTTGTAGGAGCCCTAAGTGATTCATAGACTTCTTTTGCCTCAAATTCTTTCACGTCTTCTAACCGCGGCTCAGTTCCACTTGCAAGCTCAGAGTCAAGACGTCTTTGGGCACGTCTCATTTCGTCTTCACCTTGCTGTAGCTCAGCGTCAGTTGCCCTCCTTCTAGCAAACATGCCGAAGAGCTCCTTTTCAATGTCGGTCTTCTTTAGGGCGTTGGTTGCATTGGGCTTTCTCAGGGCGTTGGGCTCATAACCTGGCAAGGCTCAGCCCGATGTCACGTCCTCAACCTCCTCACTCGGCCGCCCGTATTTCGTCACTGCGTCTCGAAGTTTGAGATTAAAAAGGTAGCTGCGAGTGAAACAGCTAAGTATGGTTAAATCTACCAACTGGATTGGAGAAAACAGGGATTGAGTGCCACTTATGTACATGCTATGTATTTAGGTACTTGCAACTTTTATTTTTATGTGTATATATATATATGTGTGTATATATATACATGTGCTGCACTGATTGTAACATCATGGAATGACAATTGCGCCGTAGCTTGAACACTGAATTTTCTTAACTGCCGCTGTTCTCAGCCGAGCATCGACGGAAGGCTGTGAGGTCCAAAGCTTCCTGCACAGGAGGATCAACTTTGGACAGCGTCGGCATGTCGTGTACTGTACTGCAACATCTCGCACACGCAGCGTCCGATCATGAACCCAGTGGATGCTCAGCAGATCTCAGCAAATAAATACAATTTGACAAAGGTATAAAAACTCAGAATCTGTTACCTGTTTCATACCTTGCAACCCAGGAACGCCAAGGGAGCAACACAGCATTTTTCGACCACACCCAGTAATTTCACATAGCTACTCTGGTCCAGTCGGCGCTTCAACACCTAGGCTTAGCAGCTGATCGCACCACTGAGACACAAAAGAACAAACAAGAACAAACAAGAACAAAGAAAACGCACTGAAACCACATCGCCAAAATCGCAAAAATTGCCAAAGTCCAGCTTGCACAATGCGATGTGGCCGGTTCTATTATCAATCTTTGCCACAGTATGTTGTTTCTACAGGTTGTTTGCATTGGCTACTTGCTTACCACCCTCCACTTTTGCTCAAGCATCATCCATGGCGCCAATCTATCTATCGCATGGCAAGCTGGCGGCTTGATCTACATCTGCGGAACGCATCACCCCGAGCACATGAGTCAAGACATAAAATTGAACAGGCTTCCCTCGGACATGTTGCTGCCACTTGCTCCATCCTGAGTGATGCACAGTAGACGGTGTTGGCCAAGACCTCGTCTGCCAGTGCAATCATCATCTTTCGGCACCCCTGGCTCCTGTGTAATAGCACATCTAATAGCACATCATACAGCATGTACACAACATTTAATCTTGTATAGCTAAGTATAGCTGCTTCCTCGACGTCACGATCCTATCCCCTCTACATTGTACAATGCTGACAATGCTGCTCGCATTTCTTGTCCGAGGCTGTAGCTCTCTGCGATCTGTAGCTGTGGCCTCAGAACGAAAGACTGGAGGTGCCAGGAATGCCAATGCAGACTGTAAGAGATGGCTTTCACTGTGAAAAACAGTGAAACTAAAAGGTGATTATAGAGCTTTGGCAACGCTTTGCAAACCTTTGCTTCCTTTCTCTTCTCTGACTTAGGGAGCATACCAGAACACAATTAGCTATTATTATGTAGAGATGGCGATTTTCTGGCTTTGCTCCGCAATGAATCACAAATGATTGATGCAAATTTCCCGATTACCATGAAGAACAGCCTTCAGCTTTCCTAAATTGATTTTACCTTAATGACTAGTGACTTTTACGATTTTCGGAGGAGCTCCCCTGCGGCTCGCGGCAATCCGGCCCAGACCAGCGAGAGAAACTGGAACAAAAAACCCTTCGCAATCTCTCAGGAAATGACTCATTAGCTGCATGAAGCCTTTCTCAAATTCCTGGCCAGCCACACGGATCAGTATGAGCCCTTCGCACCAAACTCTGTGGCTCATGCCTGAGAGAATTCGTCCATAAATCGGTTCGGATCTTGTACGAAAAGCTGCATTTGTCGTTGGTGCCCATCCTCAGCACATGCTTTTAAAAGCTTGTGTCTGGACATGTCTGGACAGTCCGTGTTCAGACTGCTAAGAGGACGACCGACATCCGATGACACTTGAAGCCGTTCTCGTCCCGGCACTGCTTTTGACACATCTGGCAATACCATCGCAACCTCAGATTTCTTGCGGCTCCGCATCTTTTTCCAGCAGATCCCTCTCTCCCTTTCAATGATTGGAGATGCTTTGACGGCATGTATCACATGTTCCAACATGTTCCCACATTTTCCAAGACATGTTGCGACTTTGCAACTGAGGAGCTTTTGGAGGCCCTTGGCCTTCATTTTGTTGCCTCAAATTGTTACACAAGATGCCAACTATCGGCCATGATCTGCTAACTTAATACTGTCCTGCGGGTGCATCTAGTTCCTCAGTGATGAAGTGACATTGCAAAGCTGCAAAGGATGGGACCAAGCCATTTTGTTGATCCGACCTTGTGCCCCGTGTACCCCGCATGATGTGCACACAACGTGTGATGTTGTGCGATGACTCTTGCGACTCTTGTGCTCTTGAATCTGGTGCCATCTAGCCCTGTCCAGCCGGACCTCTTGCTTCGGCATCGCAGCTCGGTCAGGGCCCCTTCTAGGGGACAAACAAAAAGAACAATGCTGTTGTGTAAGCTTGCACATGCTTGCACCGTATCCCGTGCAAGAAAATCTCGTTTCTGTTTAGTGTGTGATCAGAAGTAAGTCACTGTTTTCTGTGGGTTCTTCTTGCTAAAAGCCCTTCTCTCCGTCCAAAAAGACCAGACATATTTACACAGAGGAACCTGCGAAATTGCTTTCATTTCATGTCCCACGCACATGCGTTTCTTACTGGTGTCTTTATATGTATGTACAAGCTTGCCCATGTCAATCGAGCCACCGCAAGGAACAACCGTATCCGGACACCGCAAAATTCCAAAGGCTGATTAAAAAGCTGGACCACCACCGCGTATCAGTCACTTTCAAGGCATTTTGGAAATACAAAGCCAGATATGCTAATGAAGAATCCGAACGATCATGACAGCAAGCATGACGGCAAGAATTGAAGGAAACACTGAGTCAAACGAGGCAAGCCATGTACATGCTTTCCCCACAGTAAATCTCTCTCAGACTTTCTCAGCATTTCATGTTATTTTCATCTATTTCCTCTTCCTTTCTCGTCTTTTTCACCTTCCTTTATTGAATCTTTCTGTATCATCTTGTGTCGTGAGGCTTTCGAAGCCAGCTAATCAAATAAATCGTGCGACTTTGCGTGGCCTACAGCCACGAATAGTCACGAGTGTGCAGACCCAGCGCCCGAGAAATGCTATGCAGGTCGCACAGTGTTTGCGCCGCAACGCAAATAGACAACATCATACAAAGACATTGATTGAATACCAGTGGTACCGCACAAGGCGGTGGTGGAAGCTTCAAAAAAGGGAAACCTATAGGAGAGGTTGGTTGTTGCGAATCACGGATGGCGGAGCGAATCCACTGATGGACCGAAAGGTGGTTGGAGCTGTGATTCTTGGAGTGGTTACAATGGTTGCAGTGGTCACCTCACCACAACTGCTGGATGTAGTGTGGTGTAGTGCCGTTGTAGTTGTAGTGTAGTGTAGTGGGGTTGTAGTTGTGATGTAGTGTAATTAGTGCAGCGTAGTTGCATTTGCAGTTGCAATTGTAGTTGTTTTCGTGGTGTGGTGCAATTAGCGCAGTGTAAAATGTAGTGTAGCGTAGCGTACTGTAGTGTTGTGTACTGTGGCGTAGTGTAGTCTAGCATACTTTAGTATAGTGTAGTCTGACGTAGTGTAGTGTGAAGTAGTGTAATTGCAGTTGTAGCTGTAGTTGTAGTTGTGGTGTAGTGTAGCGACTTTAGTGTAGTGTAACGTAAGGTAATGTAGTTGTAGGTGTAGTTGTTGTTGTAATGTAGTGTAGTCTAATTATAGCGTAGCGTTGTGTAATGTAGTTGTCGTTTTGGCGTAGTGTAATGTATTGTCGTTGTCGTTGTCGTTGTCGTTGTCGTCGTCGTAGCAGCAGTAGTAGGAGTAGCTGTACTTCTTGTTCTTGTTCTTGTTCTTGTTGTTGTTGTTGTTATTGTTATTGTTGTTGTTGTTGTCGTTGTTGTCGTTGTTGTTGTTTAGTTCCTGTTGTGGAGTTAGTGTTGCGTAGTTAGTCTTGCGCATTTAGATTTGTATAATTAGAGTTGTGTAGTTTGTCTTGTGTAGTTAGGCTTGTGCAAGTAGAGTTGTGCAATTAGTGTTGTGTAAATAGTGTTGCGTAATTGGTGTTGTGAAATTAGTTCTGTGTAAGTAGTGTAGTGTAGTGATTAGTGTAGTGTAATGCAGCGGAGCGATTTGTATTTGCATTTGTAGTTGTAGTAGTAGTGTAGTGTAGTATAGTGGTAGTGGTAATAATTGTAGTTGTAGTTGTAGTTGTCTATCTATCTATCTACCTACCTACCTATCTATCTATCTATCTATCCATCCATCCATCCATCCATCCATCTATCTGCCTACCTGCAAGCTTGAAAACAAAGCTATTCTGCGAGACCTCCTCAATTTTTGAATTTGACAGCATCATAAAAACAGCAATTCTGCGAGATTTCCTCAATTTTTGAAATTGCTAACGAAGCAATTCTGCGAGACTTCCTCAATTTTCCAAGTTGACAACATCAAAAACGAAGCAATTCTGCGAGACGTCCTTCAAAAATAGAACGTTTTTTCCACTCCAATGTGTCTAAAGCACTGCGCCGGCCACGAAAAAGTGATGCCAGGTCACACGAAGTGCTGCACCTGTCACGCAAAATCATCTTAACATCTCTCTTGTAAAGCGCCTGCCACGCGAAATCCATCTTTGCAGATCCTCTTCAAATGTCCCACGCCTGCCATTGTTTTTGGAAATGCTACCAAGCCCTCACATTTTACTCACTTTTGGCAGGGTGGGGAATCCCTTGCGCCTGCCACACAGAACGACGCTTCAACGTCCAAAAGCGGCGTGAACGTGTGGTGTTTTTAACAGGTTGACTTTGAAACGCGCTTCCCGCCACCACAACAGCGTGCACTTTTTCAACATCTCAACTTCCAAAAGCGGTCCGACACTCACGTTTTTTGCACGTTTTGACTTCGAAATGTGCGTCGCACCACAACGGCGTGCACTTTTTCGACATCTCAACTTCCAAAAATGGTCCGAACATGGTGCGCTTTGTCCATTTTGACTTGGAAATGTGCTTCGCGCCACAACGGCGTGCACTTTTTCGACCTCTCAACTTCCAAAATTGCTCCGAGCGTGAGGTGTTTTCAGTTTTTTTCGCTTGCAAATGTGCTTTGCGCTACGACGGCTTGCAATTTTTTATCTCTCAGCTGGCCACATGGCTCCGCACCCGCCACTTTAGCGAGCCTACTTTTCGACCCTCCGGAGCCACACATCCTTGGAAAAACACAGTGTTTCGCGACTTTTCTGCCTTTTCGCGCACCTGCATCTTCTTTCTTCTGACTCTTTCTCTTCTCTGATCTTCTTTCTTCTTCTCTTCTCTTCTCTGACTCTTCCCACCTCTGCTTTTTCATCTGTCCATATTATCGGAAGTTTGACTTCTAAACTTCCTTCGATAATTCAATAATGATACATAAAACATTTGTACATATAAATAATATACAAATGATTGGAATTGAGAACTGCATAGCATGAAGTACCACCATCCAAGATCATGCAAGAGCACAATCTCTGCTTTTGAATGTTCAAGCGGCTTGAAACCATCGCATTGGCGAGGTCTCTGCCAAAATCTGTGACAATTTCCAATATGAATTCTGTCAGATGAAGTGCTTGCAATACGAATTTGCAAAATGTTACCTGAACACAGTGTGGAACGGTGGACAATGGCTCTCACTTGCCTGCTGTTCAATCCAGCTGCCTGTCTTGATTTAAACATCCTGTCTCTTCTATCGCAGCTACCAATAGGTGTTCTCTATTTATAGTCATTTATATTTGACTCATACATCACATCTATTCAAGTCTGCAATTCTGCCTGCGTGGTCACATTTGAAGTAGCCACAGAGATTCAGAAACAGTTGAAGCAACTGCACGAACGTTGCCGGAGTTAAGCCAGATTGGGGTTTTGAGGTTTGACTGTCTTTGCAGGCGTTTGAGGTTCTGAGTCCTAGGAAGTCTCAGTCAGCCCCATGAAGTCTCAGAAAGTCTAAAACTTGGATCAACTGGATCATCACCAAGAGGCCTATGCCGGTAGCACACCGATGCCTGGGGTGAAAAAGAATCTCACTCCTGTGTCCTCTGTCCAAAATCTGCACTAAGCCCGTCCTTCGGCAACTTCGGCTTCCAGCACCCTGATTGCATCGTCAAGAAGGAGCATCTTCTTCGAAAGCCTCTCGGACTCTTTCAATCTACGGCCAATAGGAATGAGAGCCATTCAAATTCAACCCAGGGACCCAGTTCTTCGAGCCTGCTGAATGATGGGCCCGTGCAAGAAAGATCTACCATGTGCAGGTGCCTGGAGTACAAATCCAAAAACTCGTAGCATTCTTTAAGAAAACGAATGCCGCATAGGTCTTGAAGGAAATACTAGCGTCTGTAGAAGCTGCAGTTCCAATCGAGGCAAGACACAAGCATGGAACTGTCGTCAAAGGCCATGCCTCGGACTGCTGCCCCCGGAACCCCCGGCAACAAGGGAGAAGAGGTATATACAATTCTGAGCATTGACTCTCATGAAAATGTTGGCACGGTCTCTTATATGAACTGGGCACTTGTGCGCCAAAATGGTGAGAGAACCGATAAGAGCCAACGTTCAGCGACCAAGATACTGCTAGATAGAATCCAGCATCCTTTGACCATCCTGGGGCCTGACTCACCTTCGGGGCCATGCCCAGCCCATTTGGAAAAGAGGGAAAACACATTTGACAAAATGTCTGCAAAGGGGTATGTGGCGGTGCCCATCCAACTGCTTTGAACTCAAATGAGCCACAAATTCCTATTGGGTGAATGCGAAAAAGGCGCCCAATGCGTCGCAGCATCCTTCATCTCCTGCACGAATTGACATGGCTGACTGACTTTGGCTGGCTGCCAGCTTCGGCTGCTTGTCTACTGCTTCTCGTAACCTGCTTCTCGTAACCTGCTTCTCTACTGCTTCTGCTACTGCCGCTGTTTCACTGCCTTGAGGGCTTCCAGCGCTTGTTGAGATCCACATTCCAGTCCGAGTGAGATCACATTGAAGTACTCCTTAAGGCTGACATCATCGGATGCAAACAGCAATCATTTGGAGCAATACCAAGCGCATGGTAAACACTAACGCCAACACAGGCCAAACAGTCCAAGAAGCCCATCGCAAATTCTTGAAGACTAGAAACCTGTGCCGCTGAGACCTTGGGCGTGAACAAAATGCCGAAGGGCGACAAGAAAAAAATGGTCTCCTCCAGAAAGGTGCGATGGCAGCGAAAGTTCCAGAAAGTTCGGGAACAAAAAAGTTGAACTGATGGAAAGTTCGACAAGATCCGATTCTCCGATGCCAAGTTGTGCCAAGTTGCATCGATGCCTTTCCAATCCAACTTGGGTCAGAGCTGTGCCACCTCGGAGGATTCAGGATGAGGTCGTGGGATCTACATAGATTCAAAAGAAAACATGTACAGATAGTATGTGTATAATTATATATATGATATGATATGATATGATATGATATGATATGATATGTGTGGTGCATATGTATGCATACATATGTGCGTGTGTGTGTGTGTGATGGTATGCCTCTACCTTTGCAAACAACACTCCACATCTAAAACCTCGATCGCGACAAGTGACATCTCATCACTTTCGGGCTTGTTGTGGGCCACAACGAAGGTGTCTCCTGCTAGACAGGGAAAACACCAATGTAAAAGTAATGCAAAGCAAAATTCAGACTGCACCCATATCAGAGTACTCTGCGCTTGGCGTCCATATGTTCCCAAGTAGTCTTGCTCAGGTTCGCATTTGCGCCTGAGATGCCCACAGCCGAGCTCAGGCAATAAAAAGCTACAGCGATCACAAAACTGAAGACTCAATTGTCTCCAAACTTCAAACCTTTTTGTTGCAGTGATAAACTGAGCGCGGCCAACACACTGACTAAGCTCCCCAGTAATGATGTGAGCCAGGAAAATGTAGGGCTGCATGCCTGCACAAAAGTGAATACAAATGTATATATTCGGTATCTGCCTCACAAATTGGGACAACTGTGGGGCAGCGATGCCTGTTGTCATGAAACCATCCTCATCAATAAAGCCGGAAGCTAGAAGATCATCAAAAACCTTTCAGTGCAAGCGTGACAGCTCAATGACCAAGCTATATAATTCTCAGAGACCATCTTACACGTCTTTAGATTTATGGGCTCTGCTGACGGATTGGCGTTTGCCTTTGGCCTGAATTCTTCCCGTTACCTGACATGATCCTACAAGTACTGATTTGGAAGGTGTTCTACAGTGCGGGGTTAACATTTTTTGAAACCGAAGGCCTGATTTCACACTCGCGCAGCATTGTTATTATTGAATTGAATTTGCAATATGAGGATCCGCCGGCAGTTGTTTGGAACAATCTGCGAAAGGTTGTTCGCCTTGGCATTTCTTCCTCTAGTTTTCCTCTTTGTTAGTCTCACTTCCTACGCATGTGACGGGCCGTGTTGTTCCTGTCGGCTTCTCCACCTAAGGCCTATGGCAATGCGGTTTCTAGTGTTTCTAGACATGTCATGTATTAAATCTTACCTCTCAAACTCGTCCAGGTGTCCTGTTTCAACCCGGACATGACATGCTTTGCGCATGAGGTCTTGACAATCTTTGCTTTGAACATTCAAGACAGAGGGACAAAACCTAACCGCCTGAAAAAACAGAGAAAGCTACAAGACTGGCTGAGACCAGGATTGGGATAGAAAATTAAGGAAGCAAGTTTAAAGGAAAAAACGAACGAGAATCAATCATATACTACAAAATCACGACCATATTTGATGCATTGTGACAGGTCATGGGGATTCATCCGGATACTGGTGCAAGTGGCCAATCTTGTTGAAACACAAGGCAAAAAGCCACTGGAACTAGCTGATGCATTTTGATGCTATCACCAATGCGTGGCAATTTTGAGTGCGCCCTCCTGAGAAAAGCCGAGTTCGAGACCAAATCCGCTACAATACCTTCATGCATGTACTTGCGGACCTGGAGGGGGGTTGCAATCATTCAGAGCAGGTACCTATCGCACCTTCAATGGCACAGGCACAAATCCGGCACGGTATCCATTAGATGAAACAAGACCTCAATTCAACAGTGACCCTTCTTAGCAAACAGTCTTTGCGAAGATCTCTGCGAATGTGCAACACTCTACTCAACCTTTCCTGCTGGAACTCTTCCGCAGTGTGGACAACTTCGAAGTGAGCTTGGAAAAAGTCCTCCACAGATTCTCACGGGCCCTGTACTTTATTTTGGGAGACTTGTAAGTTCATTCCTCGGAAGTTGCAGTTCCGTCCACGGTCTCCGACAACATCATACCAGCACCATTAATTTCGCTCCTGGAACGATGGGAAAGATTCCAGTCTTCCTTGATCAGCTCCATTTGCATCAGAGTTTGCAAACCTTGCTGGGACCAAAGAGACCAGTGGGGCTGGAGGGACCACAAAATCATAACAGCAGCATTTGGGCGGCACTACGGGCTGAGAAGATTTTTGAAGCCCTGGGAATGTGAGCAACCAAGGTGCGAACGTTTTCGGAAGGAAAATGTAGCAAGGTTGATTGGAAAACATGGGGTGCCTGTTGTGAACGACATCTTCTTGAAAAATCTTGACAATGCTCCGTCAATGCTCTGCTTGTTTGTTTTCGTTGCATCTCTTAGATTGTGGGTGGCGAGGCCCACTGGCTGCTCTCCTCTCAGGAGACTAAACCACAGTTTAAACATGTTTAAACCACCTTGTCTTGGATTATATAATTTTGGCCAGGCAAAATGATGTTCCAGCCATCTTTGATACACACAGTTTTACACTGACTCATGCAACATCGCAACAAAGGACTTCAAGAACTGATACATGTTTTGAACCCGTTCCCCTTTGTTTCGTTGTTTCTTGCTCACAGTTGCGCAGTTTCGATACGATCAACAAATCTAATGTCCAGCAGATATCTTGCCAAAGTATATAAAACTGCATTTTTTTCTTGAAACCCAACCAGGGCCAGGGGTGCCACGGCCTCTGACATTTCTGCTGCTATGCAAGTGGGAAACTGTTTCTGAATGCGCGCGATCTCCTGTAGTTTTCGCTCGGTTTGCTGAGTGTCCGGATGCTCCTTGCCAAGCCTCAGAGATCCAAGTTCAGCATTGGTCCTGAACCTGTGGCCAATGAAGCAGTATATATTCCTACCCAAAAAAAAATCAATACGTCACACAAAAGGGAATATGTTGCAAAGTCTTAGAATGGATTGAACAAGTCACTTGACATGCCAAGCATCTTCTCCACCCGAAGCTTGTGCACGAGACGCAACCTGGAAAGGTTTCTTTGGCACAACAATATGTTTAAAGTTTGAAGCCAGTAATCCCCAAATGCCGCGGACGTCAAGCACGGAGAAGGTCCCCATGCCCAGAAATGGGAACATACATGCATGTATATATAGGTACAAATGCATATGTCAAAATGTAAATGCATGAACCTACACGTAAATAATTACACATGTATTGACTATTGTCATGCGTATGTGTGTGTGTGTGCGTGCGCACGTGCAGGTATTTAAATAAATACGTGCGTTTTTTCTTGGAATCTGGCGATGCCGTCCTCGGCTAAAGAAGCAGAACGACGCTGTGTGACTATATGCAGGTGGGCCACTGCAACCGACATAAAAACAAAATAGATTACAGGGTCGCTCTTTCAAGGTGGTTTGGAAGCAAAACCATCCACCCATCCACCCATCCACCCATCCACCCATCCACCCATCCACCCATCCACCCATCCACCCACCCACCCATCCATCCATCCATCCATCCATCATCCGTCCATCCGTCCGTCCATCCATCCATCCATCATCCATGTGTGTGTGTGTGTTTGCGTGTGATTCTGTATTTGTGTCGCATTCATTGGATTCATTCATGCGTGCGCAGGTTAAGTTCTGAACCTTGAGCGTTAGCTATGCGCAAGCTGCCAAGACACTGGCTGATCGATTCATCAATAGGCCCTCCTGTTTGCTCACTGGAGTCGGTGAATCGAGAGCACACTTCTCATGCACCAACAAAGGACTTAATCGAAACAAATCCACGCAGAAGCAGCAGAAGCACATCTATATAACTGCTCCTGCAGAACAAGTCTTTTGGAAGACACATCGATCCAGCCACGAACAAGCTTGGTTGTGCAATGAGGACAGCGTCAGCGGATGGCCCTGACGCAAATGCATGGGCCACAGTAATCAAAGCAAGTACAAAAGCCAAGGCTATGATTTCCGGGCCGCTCCCTCCCAAGCAGTTACAGTACATGCTGACTTTGCATTGTTGTGAGCAACATGAGTGGCATGACGCTACCTGCAATGCAATACAACGCCAGGATAGACATCTAACGCTGCCTGCTGAAGCAAATCTTTGAGAGACTGCACTGCCCTTTGGTGAAGCTGATCAGATTCGTTGAAGAGCTCAGCCGATGGCTCTGGCGCCTACACTAGAACTGCTTGCATTTTGCATTCAGCTCCGTCCTTGACTGTGCGAAACACTTGCAAGAGTAAATGAAGTGAATGAAGCTGGAGGAGCTCGTCCCCTTGCCTCAGAAAGGAAACGAGCGAAATTGCTCAGCCTCAGCGCAGAAGAATGCTCCGTTTCTTCATCAGGCACGGTTAGACATTAGAATTCATCAGTTTTCACAAAATCACATCAGATTCTCCCCTTATGGAAATTGATATGCATTGATTCAAGGGGAGCCATCCAAAGGCTCACCGGAAGTTGCAGAAAACTTTTAAAAGACATTTGTTGACTTAGCTCCGCACGTGTACAACGTACGTGGGTCTTTTTCTCCTATTGTCAGCTCCCGGCCCTTCACCGCCAGGCCTGGCTGCGGCAGGGTCATGTGAGTCGTTTGCCTTGAGACTTTGAGACTTTGACCGGAGGCGGAGGCATCGCAAATCTAGGCCAATCTAGCCAATCTAGGCATCTAACTGTATAGACTTCGGGCTTCCTCAAAAATCTCGATGGACATTGGCCTCACGCAATGTCAAGGTTGCGGTGGATATCAGCGCAAGCAACCCCAAGAGCAGCAGCGATGGGCGAAGCGTGTCATACCATGTGAAACACCTAGTTGGGCTGTTTCATAAGCGATCCTTCAATCAATTCACTAGCTGACCCTTCACTCATAATTACTCAAAACTGCCACCGTCTGACGTGTTCAGCCACTACACTCCATTCCTGTTGCCCTTCTTAAGCACCTGTGCAAGCTCAGAAGGACTGCCAAGTTGGAAACACTCTGCAGTGTCTCCTGCCAGCCGTTCCCCACTGTCTTTGTCTGCCACGAACTCAGGACAACACGATGTTTTGGCCCTGATATGTGCAGCAGGTGATCAAATGTGTAGTCAAGTACCCAAAAACATTGGGCTCTCAAGATGTGCAAAGCAGTACAAATTCTGTTCTCAAAAAAGTCTCTGGGTGATGATCCTTTAGAGTGGCTGCCGGCGGTGGATGCTGAACACCAAACACATTGTGTGCGAGCATGTATGGGCGCAAAGCTGTGCGCTCTCGCGCTGGCTCTTGATGCTATGTATGATACTATGTACGCAAAAAATGGTTTTGGTGTGTTTTGCTTGGGTCCGGCAGCGTGTGATAGAGAGGGGAAAACCATGCACATCGCAATGCACACCTGAATGGCCAAATTGGTTTGGCCTCCTGCCCTCAGGTTCTGGCAGAATTTGAAGCCGCGAATCATTTCGTGAAAATCTGCCAGTATCAAACTGGTTGCAGCTCGCAAGCGGCTGCTCGGACAACGAAGCTTGGGGAAGGTAATGCTAACAAGTTTTGCGGCCAAAACCTGCGATTTGCCTAGGATCCATTTGCAGGAAGCCTAAAATGCGCGGCACAAGCAACGGCAAAGGTGATGGCTCACACTTTGTCTGCAGGTTTCTTCTAATAAGAGAATCTCCACTCTTTTCGTTGAGCTGGAGTTGGTTTTGGACATGTTTTGACATTGTCATACCTTGTAGCGGAATTGCATTGGGAAGGTGACAAATCCCGTGTCTCGGATGGGGCTATACAATTAAGGATCGCCTTTCTAGTCATGCGTAATGTCTCCATAGTCCCGTGTTGTAGCTCTTCATCTTATCTGAAGTTTTACGGGGTGGGAATGTCATACTGACGGTCATACCTAGCAAACCCGAAAGGATAGAGCCAAACCCAACTCCTAAAACCTTACTGGTAAGCCCTTGATGATATTATTCCTGACATCCCTTGACAAGCAAATAGAAGCGGCTTTGTCGGTCTTGGGCGGATGGTAGAATATATTTATATATGCATATAACATCATATAACTAGCCTCTGTGGCGAGTTTTATTGTTCTGTACAGTCTCAACCATTTGGTCCGAATTTGTGGCTCCTCATGATTTTCTCCAAGAACTCGACGCCGTCGTTGCAAACAGTCGCGGTGACACTGTAAGGCCTGCACTGTTTCAAACCCATCGGCTCCCATCGACTCGAAAATTCCGACTGCACTAGCCGCACAAACTCTTTTCTCACTAGCTTGACCGCGGCTGGAGGTTCCCTTTAAGGCCTCTCTGATTTGCAACAGCCCTCTCCTCACTTACGCGACATTAATGTCTCAAATGAATGCCGTGCGTTCCCGAATCCTCCCAAGAAGCCTCCTCAACGTGATTGGCCTTTTGTAGGGTGACCTGGGGGCAAATGCTGCTGCGAATCCGCTAGCCAATTGCCAGCGTTGCCTTCTTTAACTCGTACTTGAAGTCTCAAGTAACGTTCAGCATTTTGAGGCTTCTCCAGAGAAAAAAAAACATTTAGATTAAGAGCTGCCCAGCACCATTCCATTTCCACATTCTCTATATTGATGAGTTGAATTTGTGTGAGACGGTGTCAGCACTGCTCAGGACACCGTCTTCCTTTCACCCAATGAACTTGCCAAGGCAAATATCCACTAGGAGTATTTATATAAAATATGTATATATATATAGATAGATATAGAATATGTATATATATATATAGATAGATATAGATATAGATATATACTACATCAATCAGCTTTGCTCTCGAATCTCTTTGCAAATACCGTCTTTCTTTGCATAGTCTATCCTAGCACTCTTGAGTTGCGAATGGTTTGGGAAATCTCTCTGTTCTCTCTGACCTGTGAACTTTCTCTGGGACACATACTGCCAGCTGGTTCAGGCAGCTCAGGGCTAGAGCCTCAGCTCCAAGTTGAGCTCAGACCTACGAGCTTCCCGAGCTTCCCAAGCTACTCGAGCTTGTAGAAACTTGTAGAAGCACAGCTGAAATGCTATGGCTATGCCGGCTATGCTAGGCTATGCCGGTCTGATTTTTCTGAGTCTGCTTTGAAGTGCTCGAAGGATGTGTTACGCCACGCAGTGCGTTGCAGTGCAAATCTGATTGGAAGATTCAAGCTGCATCAAGCCGCAGTTCACTGTGGTCTCTAGTGAGTTGCCAGCATGATCTTTGCCATACATCCTTTCAATCTCTTCCAGAAGGTCCTGCAACTTGTAGTGGGGTAGATGTGCTTTGCGCAGACTTTTCCAGAAGTTGACTTGCGAATGTGCACCGGCAATCTCAATCGCACGGATGGCCCCCGAGAAACACCAAAGAACCAGATTTGTGACCCAGTCGCAATGGTCAATCCTTGAAGTAAAACTCAGCGCCCTCAAAGTTCCCACTTTCTCGCAGCATGCGACCCAGGTTGTCCTGCAAGGTGGAGACAACACAGCCAATGAACAAAATATATAAATGCGCAAGGTGAGCCGTCAAGCATCTGTAATTCAAATGTATTGTCAAGTGATCCTTCACCCTTCACAAACTAATCAAACACTGACGTTTGCGAGGATCTCAAATGGACGTGCCGGTTGACAAGTTCCTGTAATCCAATCTGTTCTTTCTTGTTCTTTTCATTTGCATTCTGCTTCATGATCTGGAGCCTCGGAATCAGCCGCAGTCTGCTGTCATGGAAGTCAAGCACCATGACTGGCAACATGGTGTAGTCCATTATGGAAGCACATCAAAAGTGCAACTACATACTACTGGCGCCTGCTCGCAGCTACATAGAAGTGAAAGCATCTGTGGCATCGCAGAAGTGATCACGGTCGTTGAAAAATCAATTAGAATACTCATACTACTCATAAAATATAATTCGGGCCTCATGGTCTCACACTCTAAATAGGACCTGAATTCTGTCTCTGAGGCATCCGACTCCTTGGTCGCTGCTCCAATGAGCCACTGATTCATACGGAGCTGCACCATCTCGTTAAGCTTGGTAAAGCCTGAGCCACGTCCAAGAGCAGGTTTGACGGGAGGAAATGATTTTTGGTTGGAAAAATAGCGTTCGGATGCGTTCGGTAAGTATTTCAACCTATTGCATCAGTTTCTCCATGCTTAAAGATTGCAAGTGCAAATTTGAATTGCTGTTGGACAGAAACGACAAATGCCGGTGACTTCTCCTCATGGCACTTCCTGGCCTTCACTGACAAAAACTATCTTTCATTTCGTTGCCACTACTACTACGTTTCCATTCATTCCATAGGACTGGACGATACTTAATTTGTTCCCAAAACCATCCATTTAGATCTATTTGCCTCCATTCGGTGATGTTGCATAGGGTTCCCTTCGTCATGTGGTTACTCATTGTATCCATGATCCATTTGTGCATGTCTCGCACCCCCTCTCTGCAAGCGAAGAAGCCTATTGTCCTCCGTATCTCATCATGCACCATTTCCTGACCAAACAGTTCTACAGAAATATCTGGTCGCTTTGATTGTTGCCTCGCTTTCGGCTCATTGACGACTTTTGTTTCAACGGGCTTTCGAGAAGAGACTAGATGAGTAGCTCAAACTCGAGCGCTTCAACTGACCTGATGGCTTTTGTGATACGCAGAACTCAGAGCGACATCTACACCACTCAGCGCAGTTTGCACTGTGGTGAAGGAATTGATCAGAGCCTGAGTTCAGCAAATCTGGGCATGTTTGTCTTCGCAACTGTGATGAGTCAACTCAACACGCGCTTCATATTTCTGCCAAAGTCTTATTCCATTCTTAGGTGCCTCAAAAGTTCATGACTACTGCATCTTGAGCACTCCTCTGAAATCGTCCATAGTATCTTTCGGCCTTGGTTAGGGAAGGTTGATCAAATCACTGCAAGCCCACCAGACCATCAATGCCAACAGCCACTGCAATGCACTCACATCACTCGCATCACTCGGGTTCACCTGTCGAGCCGAACTCAATTGAGGATGGCACATTGCGATGTCAAAGCGCGCTCCCATTTGAAATGCGCTAAAGATCTCCCAAATCACCCAAACACGCTTCAGTGGAATTGGGTCCTGCGCTAACGTGAAAGGCCCATGGTCCATGAGCAAAAGTTGTTCGACGTGTCTGAGTATTGCTGGAGTCCTCCCATGGCAATGACACCAAAATGGTGCTTCCCACGTCACCTCAGGGCGAGCGCATGCAGTCTGAAATTTCAATTGCATTACTTGAAGCTTGCATTTATTTGTTGAATCATAAGCGACTCCTTCGTGTGCTCGGGCTACTTGTTGTGTCAGTAGGTATCAAGACAATATTTGGATAACACTGCACAGGCCGTTGATCCTCGGGTGGGTCCCATCGGGCTTTAACTATAAGTTATATAAGACTGCCTTCTATAACTTATATATAACTTATATAGGATAAATATTATCCAAGGTCTGACTCTGAGTTCTATTTGCTGCCGCAGTCACCGACAGCTTGGGCAAAGCGAGTGGACCACCATTCCATTGGATAAGAATCAGCTATGTGCTGATTAACTACCTGAGGCCAGCAACACTTGTCAGTTGCGTCTTAAGATCCTAAGCTGAGATTCCAGCAAATGCATCTACCCAGTAGTAGGTGACGTCGGCACCTGGCACAACTTGGAAGCGCGGGCACCTTGCCAAAAAACAACAAACACGAAAATAGAACTTGTAACAACAAAAAAATACAAAAAACACATCAAAAAGCACGACTTGCGGTGGGCCCCAGCTCAAGCGCTTGGACCAAATGCAAATGGCACCTTTGTGAGAGTCCCAGTTGGCAAGCGCCCCAAGGAAGGTTGAATATTCGTACCTGAAGAGGCTCTAAACAGGCAAGACTGCTATATACTTACTGTATTTCTATACAATATGTTGATGTTATTATATATATGTTAGTAATGAGTACAACGTAGACTTCTATTTGACCAATAGCGTCTCATAGCGTTTCAGCGCCCAAACATGTACAATACTTTTCCATACATTTCCAATCCTCAAGCATCTGTGGAACATTTCTCCTACAAATCTCCACCGCTCCAGTGCGTTGGACCCGTGCGACTGTTTCTAACCTTGCCAGTCCTTGCCATTAGATTTTCAAAAAAAATGGCTTCGCTCATCGCTCGAACTTCAGGATGCGATTCCAGGTCTTGCCATGGCGCACCGCCAAGCATGTGAAACGAAATGCATCGCCTTGGAGGAAGATGAGGAAGATGAGGAAGGAGCATATTGAAAAAGCATGGGCATGGCGTGGGAGGCTGTTAAGCCTCTGACATTTTGAAATGTTCACTTACAACGCATTGTAGCTAGGAATTTGTTTGATATTGATATGTTTGAGCTGCTATGCAGCGAAGACACTAATCGAGCAAAAGCTGGCTGCTTCTTGATGTCACGAAGGCTGTCTCGGAAACCGACCTTCAGCCACAGGAGTTTCGATGTACCATATTACATCATATTACATCATATTGCATCATATTACCATATTGTCTCCCCACTGTTCAAGACACACGTGAAAACCGTTGCAAAGTTTGATCCTCAGCATGGGTTTGGTGCAGAACAGGCCTCCGCATAGGATAAGAGTGAATCTGCTTCTTCAGAAGTTGAGCAGAGCCTCAGAATGACAAGCCAAAGCAAGTGTTCCACTGCAAAAATCAAGCAGCAACAAAGGGTTGCAAGTTCCATGTTCGACCATTTTACTCAAATCTTTGGAGAAGCTTCCTGTAGGTTGTGAGTGAAATTTGTCTTTCCCTCGAACTCTAACTTTCTTCTGAATGCTTGCTGATCTTACTGTACATGTTCCTGGCCTGTAACTCACAACTATGACTTCGCATGCAAGATGCGTAACTGCTTCCCGATCATCCCGTGTCTAAGTCTACTTCGTCTACTTGATTTGGCCTTCTTGAAACAGTCCTACAGCCGGATCTTGGCCCAGCAATTTCACCATCACATGGTATCTCTGTGCTGACTCTGCACCACCTTGCCAAATTTGCAAATGAAAACAAAAATTGTTTCTGGATGAAGTCATTTTGGGTTCATGGCAACTGCAGTGCTATACAGGAGAAAAGCGATGGACTATCCCCATCTCAGCACATCTCAACACGTCACAAGACTGGCAAGTCACTTGCCCTTCTTGAACATTGTCAGCGGTTTTATCACCGTTGTGCAAAGTCCGCCTCAGCGAAACATTTCGCAAAATTACCATTAGCATGTTTTCTCATTTTTCTCGCAAACAAGGGACCAATGGAATATTCCTTTGCGCTGACCTCAGCCACACGATGAAAAGAATCTGTGCATCCCTACCTCAAGACTCAAGAGGCAATAGTTCCGCGCTGCCATCACAAGCACCCCCCTTCCCAACATGAGAGTTTCCGCCTTCGTCTTGTTCTGCACTCCGAATTCCTAGCGGTTTTGCATCCAATTTGAATTGTTCATAGAAACATATGGTTCTAAATGGTTCCAATGCAAATAGTTCCGAACCAGCAAAGCAACGTACACCCTCTACCACATCATTGAATGGCAAGCTCATTGTGAAACCCAGAACTCACATCAGGTTTTGCATGTTGAATAATCAGTACTCGTGACCAACAATGGCTGTACAGATTTTGGTGCCACAAATGAAAGAATGATGGCAATGAATCGCTTCAAGTTGTTTCATACAGAAAAGAAACATAAGATTTTCATAATGCAGCATAATTTCCAAAGAACTGAAAAAATCGTTTTCATTCGTTTTCCCGAGCCTGCATGAAACTCAGGGTAACACCATGAAGAGGACAAATCGGCAGCTCATGGACACCCGCCACGTCATCAGATACCTATTTCCAAAACTTTTGAGTCACAATTATCCTTGCAGCCTTATTAGTTTCTTGGCAATATGGGAAGGCCAACGCAGCTAGAGCAGTAAATATAGTAAATTGAATCTATATCACTGTATCATGTCAAGAAGGAAATAAGAGCAAGCCAATGGCAATCCAACAAACATGGAAATGGATGGAAATGGATTGTTTGACAGACGCAATTTCTAGCACACCTCACCTTTTGACGCACGCCGGCAAAAACCGTCATAGATCGATGAAACGCAGTGCTTCGTGAAGATCTTGAACCGAGTTCCTTCGCCTGTTTGATGTTTGTTTATCTCAAGTCACAAATCTCCCAAATCCAAAGACATTGTCTGCCAAAGTCTCAAAAATGAACCACGCCAGCCTCCACAAGAACCATCCTGGGGAAAAACAAAAACTAGCACGCGTCACTCGCAGCAAGACTTGTCGAAGTGACCCTGAATTTTGGACGAAATGCATTGTATACATAGTATACATCGTCCATTTTTATATATGTTTGTTTACTCGGCAGCTGCTGCCGAGCATCCGAGCAACCGCCCCTTCCTGCCTTACAGACAAAACCGTTGAATACTGAAAAAATGTCACATATGTCACATAACACTATTTTCTCTCCACTGAACATGCGCATGACACCCACAATTGGAACACATGTTCACTGTGGACATTCTCAGCACCATGCCCTGCTGTCACATTGAGTTCATTTCGTTCCTTGCATGCGCAACAATAACACAGGAACGCACTACACTTCACCAAACCACGCACCAGTAACTTTGGGTGTGTGAGGGTCTTACCACCGAATACACCTGACACTGTATGCATGTGAAATTGATAGGCCCTTTTGAAAAGTAATCACCTGCGTTGCCAATGATTCCCACCCTTTGTATGGCCCATAAAATGAAAATAATGCACCAAGGCAACCCAAAGCAGGCGTTTGTTAGAAAAACAAATGTCTCGCGTTTCGATAGAAAAATCCAACCTATAAGCAACCAACACTCACTGCAGCCAAAAGTTCGAATGCAGAACTGCAACAATTGCTGACACTGGCCCCCATGAGGGCTTCGTGTTTGAGCCTGACCTTAGGCCATCACATCAATCCATGATGCATCAAATTCCTCCTACGCATGGGAGGTCTACTTGGCAATTTGACCTAAGCGCCGGACAACAGATGTTTTGCACTTGTCTTGGCATCGTGCTGAAGCCGAAAATGCAGCACGAAACAAAACCAAAATGTTCCGTTTTGGCGCTCCTTTCTTCCTTGCGGCACAACCGTTTCATTTGCATTTTCGTTTTTTTACAAGAACGTTTTGCCTGGCAGGTTTGACTTCCTCAAATCTTCAGACCCTACGCTGCACACAAATATCAGGCCCACTTATGAGCACAGAAATGACATCCTTGATTCAATGTTTTGTCAACATGAAAGATATGAATTTTGGTACCAGCCATGCATTGCAAAACACATCCACACACTAGACAAAATTGGATCTTTTAAGAGATCCATCAGGAACTGAGTCCTGTTAACGTGCAAATTATATGAGAAACAAATTAACCTACGTAGTACCCATCGAATAATAGAAGTTCTCCAGAAAGACCATCGAGACCAGAATTGTCATCAAATAGGATAGAATAAAGACCAAACAACGGCATGGTGGTTCTTGGGTTAGCCACGTCCCATTGCAGAAATGATATGAAAAATAGCAGGTACGTCGATGAGCGTCCCCATCGATATCACAGATGACACACTGGCATGCAAACCAAGATTAGAAACCTGAAGTTTTACATCTGTACAGATGTGTCACACACACACACCCTGCCGCAGCAAGGTTTATTTTCCGGAAGAGGCATAAGCTGCAAAGCTATGGTACCAGCTGCAATGTTAGCCAAGGGAAGTCCCCATCAGTCGATATCCTCGAGCAGCGTACTTTGTGATGACGACAAGATGTGCAGGACTTCCATGAATGTTGTTCGTTGCTCCACGGTCAAGGGCTCCAACAGTTCGCCAGATGCCGAAGTTGAGTTACAGTAGGCCTTGTAATTCTGTTGCAAGAACAGCGATTGTCGGCTGTGGTGTCTGTGTACCGGCTGATTCCATGCCAGGTGGATAGTAGTCAGCAAAAGGATTCCCTCCATGACGCATAGGTACTCCGAAGAAGTGGCGCCAGTAATCCGCTGTACGCTGGGACCACTCCCAGTCTCCCGTCATGGTGAAAAAGAAATTTTCCGGGTCTCTGGTCCTTGAGTATAGCCAGTTGATGGGATCTCCATGATCGAAAGTTCCTGAGTGTTGCTGGAATAAGTAAAGATCTTGAAGTAGATCTGGTGGACCAATCGTTCACTGAATCGGCCATGATGGGGAATAGTAATATGGTGTCCCGAGGTTGGAAATGGAGCCGGAGGCTGGGTTCCCATTGTAGCTGAATACATCCCCAAATTGGTCGCGGGATTGTCAGATGTCGAAGAGGGAGACGTCAGTGGTAGTAGCCGGAGTAGTAGCCGGTGCCGGAGGATTCAAAGGCGCTGCCGAGGAAGATGCGTCTGGTGATCGAGCAGTACCTTGTGAGGATCGGGCCGTGGTTCTGGGTCAAAACAAGCCAGCTGCATCAGTGTCTCGTTTGTGCTGGGGAGGTTGTGCTTGAACATTTACTGGCTGACCAGGTTGTACACTTCCGTCCATAGTGTGCTGCAATGATGACTTCTAATGCCGTCAAGACCCGCAAGATATCCAAGAAACCACCACCACCAGCAGCGCTCAGCAGCGCAGCTGCACGAATCACGGGTATATCCAGCACTTCACCAACTATGGCCGCTCAGCAGCACGGCAACACTATGACGATACCTTAGGGGATCTGGGTCCTGTCCCCACGGGTGGTTGGGTCCTGCCACCCGAGCTATCAGACCGCCTGGAATGATAGCTCCGCAACCATGCAACGGTAGCACTATGTTGAGCACTCAACATGGGCTGTAGCGTGCCATCTTTGCGCAGGGGCCATGCACACTTTGCATTGCTCCTACTGTGCACTGCTTAGTCCAATGGAGGACAAATCCACCGTTTCGGTGGCTATATATATATATATAAATGCCAAGACCATATACATACGAGTGGGGAGCACCAAGTTTAGCATATTGGGCTCTCTGCTTACTTACCCCGCTAGACACACAGCTGCCACAACACAGTGGCACCTTTTACTGCCTTGACTGCACGGTTGTGCAAAAGGGGCTGCGGTCATGAACTGCTGTCATGCCATGCCGTCTCTACCTAGTGAACTGCCTGACTATCTAGCTACCTAATTCCTAGGTTTTACCCTTTGCAGTTTGCCAGAGAAGGACGTTCCCGAGAATATCACCGTGAAGGCTCCTCGTGCTACTATTCCTCGAACCGAGATTCTGACCGCTCATATTGGTGACCGCAATTTCGAGCTTGCACATTTGAGCCAAGACCGCACCGTATTGCCTTTTTTGGAGTAACAATGTTTCTCCCGCCAGGCACTGTGGGAGGCCCAGTTTGGTGCAACTCTGGGACGAGCTTGTGGAGCCACGAGAGCGGCTATGCCTGGCAGGGGAAGGCGTCATGCTGCGTTCATGTCGGCCGACGCTACGCCTACGATTGCTGGAACCCTTGATTGGACGAACAAGCTGGCCGCGCAGATAGGCACCGAGGAGATGGGACCGTGGCTCAAAGATGCTTTGTTTTGAAAGGAGAGCAGGATGAGGACAAGGTCAGGATTCACGTCAGCGAGATGTTGGCCTTCACCGCATTCGAAGCGATGTGTGGACCGAAATGGGCTGGAAAGGTGGTGATCTATGCCGGGGACAACACGGTGGTGGGGTCGTGGATCACCAGACGCCCAAGCGGTTCAAAAGCGCGGCGGTTGTTGCTCAAGGTGCTGGCGATGTGCGAGCTGAGGTATGGTTTCACGGTCGTGGCTGGGTGGTGGAGCACTTTCCACAATGTCGACTCGGATTTTGTGACCAGGTGACCAGTTCATGGAGAAGAAAGGGTGGACCAAGGTCAGGATGCAGGAGCTGGCTTTGAAGGACACCGAGAAGTTCACACCGTGTGTCTTGTCTTGGGCAGACCGGGAGGATCGCCGATTGATCACGCAATTGAAAGAGCACAGGGCCATCGACAGGCCGCTTGGCTGGAAGTGGTCCGACATCGTAGTCATGGAGCGGGCCACCCAGGGCAGGAAGGTCAAGGACTTTGAGACGGTGGCGAAGGCTTGTGGAGCGGCTGGTGCTGGTCAAGGCAAGTGCAAGATTGTGATGGGCACCATTGGTTGCGATTTGCAGGGAACAGGTTTGGAATCATTCCTCGAGTACGCCAAGATGGTTCAGAGAATGGCTGGCGTGGTGGAAGGGCCATGTTTGAGCGATTGGAATCACGCGGAGGAGTGGTGTGAGAAGGCTGACTGGGCATGGACGATGGTGGAGTTCCTGACCACCGAGTTCAGTGAGGGTTTGGCCCGTCTGAGAAAAGCCTTGACGGTGCTTCCGAAGGCCTTCGAAGAAAGGCTGACCTCGGAGCCTTTAAACAGTGGTCGCAACCCCTTTGGGCACCGTGATCAAGCCGGGCGAGGTGTGGAAAGGGCTGGCATCGGAAAACCTTTTTTGTTTTTTTTCCACACACACTTTTTCTGCGCGAGGTCCAATGAGTCCCCCTTACTGTGCTTTTGGGTCGGCTGACTGTTTTTATACTGGCCAGTCTCCAGATGTGCTCAATCCAAAGTCCACAATTAGGATGGGGGTAGGCGGCTGTTGCCGGGGGGTGGTGGCGGGGTTTCCGCGAGGAGTTGGCTGACGGGTGGTGCTGTGGGTGGACAAGTTTTGGTCCAGGAGGGATGCTGCAAAAGACTGCATGGCCGCGTGGCTGAGCATGGCTGACCATCTGGAAATGAGGGCTGCCATGACGGATCGTTGGAGGAGTGCTGGTGCTTGTCTGGCTTTGGACTGGGCAAGCAATCGAATGAAATTCATGGTTTCGTGGCTCCAACGGCCGCCGGTTTCGAAAGCCAGGACGACCAGCCTGCAACGTCTGGACTGGAGAAATTCCGGGTAAGTGCGTTCCTTACTCCGGCGGGCTGTATGGACAGCTGCCCCGGCGTAGGTGCCTGCACGGCGGCGAGGCTGCCCGTCCCGTGTCAAAGGGGAGACAAGGGTGGTGTCGATGGCCAGTTGAGCTCCGCCCCAAAGGTTTAGGCCATTGGCAATGACTTCGATGCGTCTGTCATCTTGACGGGTGACTTGTGCCAAGTTGAGGTCTGCCACCCTGGTGTTGGTTGTGACCCTTGCCCCTGCTTCTCTGCAGATCCGGGCTGCCGCCCGCTCGAGTGCCACCCCTCGACTGCGAAGAATCCCTGCCTGTGGGCAAGCGGCACGGTGGTCACCAAGTAAGAGCGCGACGGCACCGGCACTGGCGGGCAGACAAAGGAAGGGGGAGCCGCAGGCGGCGAAGCAAGAGAGTTCTGAAGAGGTGGGATGGGTATGTGGTGGATTGGTTGTAGGGAATTGTGGTGAAAGGTCGGCTGGCATTTGGCCCCGACTGGGATTCCAACATTGCATGACTCGCAGGGTCAACGGCTTGTATCAATTCTGTGCGGAAACTGCGGTTGCACACTCGCGTGGCTGCTTGTTGCCATCCTCGGCCTGGGGCTGGTGTTTCGAAATCCTGGTGGGGCTCTGGCGAAACTTCTCGGTTCAAAAGTTGATCCCAGGCTGGTGGTTCCCAGCCGTGTTGGCGGAGATGTTCCGCACTGTGAATGGCTGCTCGCACACTGGCTGTGGCTTCTTGGGGGTGCAGCTGGTGGCGAATGGTGGCTGCTATCGGGGGCGCTTGGGAATGGAGGATGGGTAGGGTGTCAGCCCAAGATGCCCAGTAAGCTGGCCTAGCTGTCGCGACTGCCGAGGGGTGAGGCCTAGGCCGCCCAGTTGAAGTGGAAGGTGTGCTGTTGCAAGGGCTGTTGCTGGCAATGGGGCTGTGTCTAAGAGTCTAAGAGCTGGGTGAAGCATGTGGCCACGGCGACATCGCGTGCGGCGGCAAAATTGGTTGTTATTTCTGGGCGCAGCATGCGAAGTTG